AAGAATGATATTATTTATTGATAAAATTAAATTCCTTACAATTTACCTTACAATATCCATAAAATTAAATCATGACAATGACTGACAAACACTAATGTGAACAATGGCCTTGCATCTCCTTGTAAAGTTTGGGTAAGTCAGGTTTGTACGTGTTGTTTTTAATTTTAGGCACGATTCCAGGTTCTCATTAATAAGACAACTTCTCAATTTACTCTTGATAAGGTTCATGCTTGAAAATGATTGTTCCCATAAATATGTAGACCCGAATAAGGAAAGAACAGCAAACGCTAGTTTTTTCAGTTGATTATATGAGTCAGGAATACTATTCCAGTTGTTAAAAATCAGCATTATCTTCCTTCTCCAGGTCTTTGAAAGCAGATCACTTGTGCTGTGAACTAAGTTCACATTTGTTTTTCTCCAATATTTCTATATCAGCACAAAGATGTTCAAATTTTGAGCTCCACAGTTCTTTGTTTTTTAAATCCAGCAATTGCATTTCAAAGTTGCCAATGTCAATATTAAAGGGAGAAAAATTTAATTCTGTTACAGTAGCATTGAGAGGTTTTTTAACAAAAGCTAACGTCATTTTGCTGTTTCTGAATTCCTGAAACCTGTTGAGAAAAGCTTCCCTCATATTTAAAAGTGTTGTTTTGAAATAGCAAATGTCAATATCAGAATTATTTTTTTGGCGATGTTTCAACTGGCTTGGAAAGTGAATTAAAGTTTCTCTTTCAAAATCTTGAGCAAAAAGAGATAATTTGTTTTCGAATGAAATAACTTCTTCTAACATTGAAAAAACTGTGTTTCCTTTCCCCTGTAGTTTACGATTAAGCCGATTTAGATGAGATGTAACATCTACCATGAAATAAAATTTTTGGATCCACTGATCGTTTGTTAGTTCTGGATACTGAACACCCTTCTCAAGGAGAAATGCTTTAATTTCTGTTAATAAGGAAGTGAAACGTTTCAAAATGTTTCCTCTTGATAACCAACGTACCTTGTTATGCAGCAGCAGATCTGTGTACTCACTCTCCATTTCAACTAAAAAAATTTTAAATTGGCTATGATTAAGAGCTTTAGCTATAATGGAGTTGATCATCTTAATCACCAGTTCCATAACTTTGCAAATTTCTTCTGGAAATGTCTGCGCACAAAGCACTTCTTGATGAATGATGCAATGGTAAGTAAGTATCTCATGGTTAATTTTTTCTTTCAAAATAGCGACAAACCCGTTTCTTATGCCGGTCATACTTTTCGACAAATTGAGACAATTTTATCGAGTGGAATATGATGTTTTTCAATGCACTCAATTACAGCATTTGCTATATCCTCTCCACGTGTTTGACCTTTGAGTGGCAATAATCCTAAGAGTTCTTCTTTAGGACCCGTAGATGAAATAAATCGTACAAAAAGTGAAACTTGCGCTGTATTATTTATGTCACAAGACTTGTCAACTGCTATTGATAAAGCTGAAACCAGTTTAAGATCTTCGACTTGCTGGTTGGTTATATTCGAAGACTTTTTGACTGTTCTGTCTTTCACTGTTTTAGCAGACAATGGTAACTCTTTAATTTTTTATAGAATATCTGCTTTGTTCTTAAAATCCTGAAATAGCTCTTCGGATGCATTTATAAAACAACTTTTTATGTATTCGCCATTTGTATATGGTTTTCCTCTCTTAGCAATCTCTTGACTAACAATAAAACTTGCAATATTAACATTGTTGGGAGATAGCATCCAGTAATTAAATACAGAACTTGATTTTTCTTGACTCTTCTGAAGTTCCTCAACTGCTTTCTTCCTTGCATCACTGACAGGGTATTTAGTACTAAATGACATGTGTTTAGTTGTAAAGTGTCTCTCCAAATTTGATTTCTTGTTATGCGCCAATTTTTCCTGACAAATAAGACAGGTCGGAAGGCCATTTAAGTTTTGAATAAATGCGAAAGTCTCAGTCCATTCAACTTTAAATTCACGGTTTTCGTCTTCCGTTTTTCTTTGCTTCTTCTTTGTAGCCATGTCAAACAGGGCACCTAAAAAAATGTTTCATTTTATAATAATAAAGCCACCAACACAAAATAATTACAATACTTAATTGATGACAAAAATACCTGTAGGATTTGCAGCTGGTTGGAAAAATACAGGTAAGTTTATGCTTTGAGTAGGTACTTTTGTCACCTGCGCATGATTTGCGGACGCGACTAGCACTAACCACTGCACAATGAGACTGCTGACTGCCTGGCTCACTCAACTCATGCATGAATCGCTCATGCCTCCCCCGCGCTGCGTATCCCATGGCCCACCTGCGCTGTGTCTCCTGTCGCCCCACTGACCGACACCCCCCACTTCTAACGCCACTTCTTCAAAATAGACTCGCCCAGGCAGAAAACCGACTTCTGCGCATGGGCCACGAAGTTTCAATCGCACTGTATGTGCGTGCCCACACATGGTATTTTGTGGAAGAGCCACACTGAAGGGGCCAAAGAGCCGCATGTGTCTTGTGAGCTGTGGTTTGCCGACCACTGGCCTAAACGACCATTACGACCATCCACCGCATGCACTTACCACCAGGGGGCAGATGCTTAATGCAGGAGCTGCCCTCTGGTGGTCAGTGCACTCTCACAGTCAACCACCTGTGGCCAGCCAACCTCTCATGGTCCCTTCCCTTGGCCCTGATCAGCCCGATCAGGACTGGGATAGATGGGCCCCCATCAGCTCCTATCTCCAGCCAGGCCGAGGGACCCCACCCATGCACAAATTCATGCACTGGGCCTCTAGTCTCTATATATAAAAGCTTAAGTGACTGAACGACTGAACAACCAGTGGACCAGTCACTATGATGCGCACTGATCACCAGGAGACAGATGCTCAATGCAGGAGCTGCCCCCTGGTGGTCAGTGTGCTCCCACAGTGGGAGCACCACTCAGCTGACCAACAGGTGCCAGATGCCAGGCTCATGGCTGGCAAGCGCACCTGTGGCGGCGGGGGCCTCTCTCGCCTCTGCAGCAGCGCTACCCAGTGGCTGCGGCAGCAGGCATAGTGGGCCAGGATGAGCAGGAGCGGCACAGTGCCTGGCCCAGGCTCGGGCTCCTCCCTGGCTGCCTGCCGCTTTGTGCACTACTACATCCCTCGGGGGATGTCAGACTGCTGGTTTCTGCCCAATCCTGCAGGGATCAGGCCAAAACTGGCAGTCTGGCATCCCCCCAGAGGTCCCGGATTGCAAGAGGACGCAGGCCAGGCCGAGGGACCCCACCGGTGCCCAAATCCATGCATCGGGCCTCTAGTTGAGTGATAAAATGAATGAATTGCTGATACATGCTACCTAATGGATGACCCTTGAAAACATTATGCTAATTGAAAGAAGCAATCATAAAAAACCACATATATTGTATGGTTCTATTTATATGAAATGTTTAGATTAAGCAAATTGATAGAGACAGAAAGTAAATAATGCCTAGGGCTGAGGCAGGTATGGGGAGTGAATATAATGAATATGGAGTACTGGGGTAATGAAAATGTCCTAAATTGAGATAAAAAAAACAAGTCGCTTGCTTTCTTATGTAACAGAAATCTAAAGGTTAACAGTCCAAGGGGTTAATACCAGGTGGTTTCATGGTGGTAGCTGTTGCCCCACTATGTCCTGTTGCCGGGGTTGTGCACTACACAACCCCGGGAGATGTCAACCATATGGACTATGATGCTAAACTATACATAGTGACATTGACCAAGGTTCCTTCTGTCTTTCTATTTCTTCATCCTTAGCATATGATTTTTTCCCTCAGTTTTGCCTCATGGCACAACTCTGTTAGTATACTAAAACTATTTGAACTACACACTTTATTTTTTATTTTATTTTATTTTTAAATATATTTTATTGATTTTTCACAGAGAAGAAGGGAGAGCGATAGAGAGTTAGAAACATCGATGAGAGAGAAACATCGATCAGCTGTCTCCTGCACATCTCCCACTGGGGATGTGCACGCAACCCAAGTACATGCCCTTGACCAGAATCGAACCCGGGACCTCTCAGTCCACAGGCCGACGCTCTATCCACTGAGCCAAACCGGTCTCAGCTTGAACTACACACTTTAAATTGATGGATTTTATGAATTATATCTCAATAAAGATATTAAAAATGTCCCCATTTTTAAAAATTTATTGTTGAAAGTATTACAGATATCCCCCCTTTTTTCTCCATTGACCCCTTCTACCCCACACTCCCCTCAGGCCTTCACCACATTATTGCCTGTGTCCATGGGTTATGCATATCTAATCTAATAAAAGACAAAAGGGTAATTAACCGTAGGTCCGCTATGCTCCCCATTGGCTAATCAGGGCAATATGCAAATTAACAGCCAACAAAGATGGCGGTTAATTTGCATAGGTAGGCATAATGATGGGAGGTGAAAGGTGAAGGATGGAAGAAGCCACCTGCCGCTGATGGAACCCAGGTGGCAGCCAAGAGCCGGAGAACCAGGCCGCCTTTGTGATCAGAGAAGCTGGGCCGCCTTTGTTGGCCCTGGGCCAGTAATTGGAGAAGCCAGGTGGGGCAGGGAAGAGGCAGACATCTGCCTCTTCCCTGCCCCACCCGGCTTCTCAGATCACTGATCACCAGTGATGGGAGAACACCCAGAGGCGGGGCCAGAGGCCGGGCTGAGTTGCTGTCTGGGGAGGCGATCCGGTTGAGCCAGGCCCCAGAAGGAGACCCAGGGGCCTCCAAAGAGGAGAGTCTCCCTGGTCAGATGGCGCGGTGTCGGGACAGGAATAAAGACAGAGGTGACTCAGATGCCTGGCTGAGGCATTAGACCAGTGAGCAGGGCCTTTCAGCCAGAACTCAGGTGAGGGTGGGGCAAGGGAGGCGAGCAGGAAATAGAGAACTACAACTCCCAGGAGGCTTAGTGGCCGGGGCCTGGGTGCCTGGCCTAAAATTGGATGGGGGCTGTCGTTTTGCACTTGAAGAGGCTTGCAATGTTGGAAGTTCTGCCGGGAGCCAGGGCGAAATGGAGCTGGAGCAGAGAGAGGGGTCCATGGCAGCCGTGGGCTTTGAGGAGTTCTCAGCACCTCCCGGCTGGGAGCTGGCACTGCCTCTGCTGTTTGGTGGTCACATCCTGGAGAGCGAGCTTGAGACCGAAGTGGAGTTCGTGTCTGGGGGTCTGGGCAGCTCCCGCCTCCAGGAGCGAGAGGAAGAGGAGGAGGCAGCCCAAGGCGGGCGGCAGCAGTGCCAAGGGGAACTCAATCACAGGAAGTACCAGGTGCTGGGTCGGCGCTGCAGGGAGATCGAGCGGGTCCTGAACAAGCTCCATCAGATACAGAGGCTAACACGGAGACTCCAGCAGGAGCGGAGGTTCCTCATGAGGGTGCTGGACTCCTACAGCGACGACTACCGGGCCAGCCAGTTCACCATCTTACTGGAGGACAAGGGCAGCCAGGGTACAGACGCCCCCACCCCAGGCAATGCTGAGAATGAGCCTCCAGAGAAAGAGGGGCTGTCCCCGCCCAGGAGGACGCCAGCGCCCACAGAAGCCAGCAGCCCAGCCCCTGGCGAGGGGCCCAGCAGTTGGAAGAGGCAGCGAGTGCCACAGGAAGGCTGCCGGGAGGGAGTCCCACTGACTCTGGAGCTGGCCCCTGTGCAGACAAAGGTGGAGGAAGACTTTGGCTTCAAAGCAGTTGAGGATCTGGACTCAAGTTGGGTTTCTCGGGGGCCAGACAAGCTGCTGCCCTACCCGACCCTAGCCAGCTCCCCCTTTGACCCCCCAATAAACAGACCCCATGCTCTCCTCAGCAAAAAAAAAAAAAAAAAAAAAAAAAAAAAAGCTTATAGAGGCATGCTTATAGGACCAAATAGTATAAATATAGATATAACAGGGCAATAAAAAGAGAACCTGGCTATGATGATCACCTGAACGCTGCCTCTGTGTCATTCCTTCTTTGCGGACTCCGTCCACACCTTTGGGAACTTCTGGACCTGCTGGGGCTAGACCCCAACATTCCTCTTCTTATAAGGACTTCAGTGAGATGAGCTAAGGGTCCCACTGGAACTGCCTCAATTTAATGTAATCCCCTCTTTAAAGATCTTATCTCCATAGACAGGTACATTCTGAGGTTCTGGGAATTAGGATTTTAACATACATTTTGTTGATTACCCAAATCAGCCCTTAACAACCAGCATGTTTCAGAAAGTAGATTCCTACAGGGTTATTTACCAAACATTCAGAAGTATTTTTAAAAGAGCTAAGCCCCTTGCCCACCGCGCTGGCCCCTCCCGGCAAAGAGCGAAGGCCTGGGTTCCGGGAGCCAGAGGAAAACTGGTGCCAGCAGCCAGGGGAGGGGGCCCCAGATTGCGAGAGGGCACAGGCCGGGCTGAGGCACCCACCCTAGTGCACAAATTTTTGTGCACCAGGCCTCTAGTATGCATATAAGTTCTTTTGTTAACCCTTTGTGGTCGTTTGTCTACTCTCAGCCACTAAAGCTTTTTTACCATTCCGGTCGTATGTCTGCTCTCAGCCACCACAGCAAGGAACCATAGAATCTTAACTCTGTTCATTCATGTATCAGTTCATAATTTCTCTGAAAGCTCTTACGTGTCTAAGCGACCTTGTCACGAACCAAAACATTGCCCCAACAAATCGGAGATATCGAAACTCAATATAAACAAACGCCGTCATTCCACACTCGCCATGCAAAACACCGTGGCAAGTTAGTCGCCTTTTGAGAGTGAAGAAATCGACAAGCTTTGGAGATACTTCGCAGAATTTCAAATAAAGCTTTACAAATTACGTTTAACTGTAATTAGGCATTCTCTCTTGTTAAGATATTTCAAAATAATACTCCAAAATGGCAAAAAGAAAGTTACCGAAAGAAGTGTACTGCGAATCTGAAAGTAACGGTGAAGAGTTTTATTTTGGCACCCTGAATACTGACTCTGACGTAGAAAGTGATAACGTTTGTAGTGATTCTACTAGTTGTGACGTAGTTCCAAAAAAGAATTAATAAATCTTGTTTATCCTTCATAATCTTGCATGTTATGTATCACTGTTCTTTCAATGGAAATTAATTCCGACCAGTACGACACCCATGTCCAAATTTAATACGACCGCAAAGGGTTAATCTTTTCCCCTGACCCCCACCCCTGCCTTCTCTCTGAGATTCATCAGTTCCCATTTTATAATTCTTTAATATTTAAGTGTTCCTTTTAATCCCAATAAAAAGCGATTCTTCAAAAATATTTTTCCAGTCTTATTGAAATATAATTGACATACATCACTGTATAAATTTAAGCTGTACAGCATAATGATTTGTATAAAATATATTATGAAATAATTACTGCAATACATTTATTTAACATCCATCATTTCATATAGATTAAAAATAAATAAAAAGGAAAATAGTATTGTTTCTCCTTGTGATGTGACATCTTAGGATTTACTCTCTTAACAACATTTATATACAGCATACAGCAGTGTTAAATATAGTAATCCTGTTGTAAGTTATGTCCTAGTACTTATTTATCTTATAACTTGAGGTTTGTACCTTTTGACAGCTTCCTCCAATTTCCCTCCCCCATCTCCATCTCTGGTAACAACAGATCTATCTATTTTTCTATGAGATTTTTTTCTGCCCCCAAAATATATTTTACTTAAATGATTTTACTAAGATAAAAATTTAAAGGTAGTAGTTTGGCATATTCAATTTGAAAAGTGTAACTACTTTAGATTATATATTTTTCTTCAAATATCCTTATGTGTGATGAATTTTTAGCTTTTACTAATTTGTAGGAGGGATTTGGCAATTCTAACATACTGGTAAAAGCGATAGAAATAACTTCTTTGAAAGATACTAAAAATATATATTTTACAGTATGTTATTCAGACTCAAATTCATTTTCATGCATAAATATCTACCTGATAGTTTTCACACATAGCTTCTTTTATGTTCAGACCACCAAATCTGACCAAATGATCTGTCAACATTTTAAAATTATGGGAGACTGTTTTTGAAAACAAAATTTTTGGCAAGCTCTATTTATATCTCATAATTAAAATAATTATGTCAGTCTTGTAACCCCATTAAAGCATGTGAATAAAAGAATATATTTTTTTCCCTTTTCTTAACTGCTAACCATTTAAGCAAGTGAGTTTAATGAGAAAAATTAAGATGAAATAAGGAAGTTCCGGTGGTCTATGCTAAAAGTGTCAAGTTAAAATTTTAATTCCTCATTCACAGAAATGACTACAAGTAAAGATGAAAATGAAAATTGATTTATGCGTCTATGGAAATTTAAATACATGGCTAAACATAAAAGGAAAAGAATGTTGAAAGAATGTGCCACAAGGGAGGGATCAGTAAAGGTATTGAAGATTGATTAAAAATATATAATTGGAAGGTTAAATTGTGTAGATAAAGTACAGTAAGGTTTAAGGATGGATTTAATTCCATTTTGAAAATGTTATCAGTGAAATTGTCATTTAGAAATATGCTGATTGGATTTCTTATATGAACATCCACGTCCTCTATGATTCCATCCCTGCTCACCTCTTGGACTTTATCTCATTTTTCCTCTATATGAACAGCAACAACAATCAGAATGACAGTGTTGACCACAACTGTTTGCAATTATAGAGTAATTTCCATGTGCCAGAAACTTTGACAAGTGTTATAGCAATAAGTTTAGTTAGTATAAGATAGCATAATCAAATTTCATTTCTTTATTAGAGTGAATTTTAAACTTTACTTAGAAGAGGAACTTAATTTGTGTGTGTGTGTGTGTGTGTGAGACCCTGATAAGTAACTTGTAACGCCCTGCATGATAACTCCTGACAAATAACTTGTAACTCCTGATCAACAATTCCCTGCATGTTAACCCCTGATAAGTACCTTGTAACCCCCCTGCATGTGTATCTGGATGAGCCTAGAAGGCCACCGGAGCACACTGATATGAGACACTGAAAAAGCCTGTTATAGTAATAAGTTTAGTTAGCATAAGTAGACTACATTTTGTATTAGCATAAGTTAGCATAAGTAGACCCCATTTTATTCTTAGACCAAAACTTGTAAACAACTCCACAATAAGATGTGTGTGTGATTGATAAGCTTTGGACATGTACACAACTTTCCTGCCTGAGTGTATACCTAGATAACAGGGCAGCACCCGTGTATGGCACCCGATAGGAGACACTGAAGACGCCCAGCTTCAAGGATTTAAGGAGAGCAAATCTGCTGCGGTTCAGACACCTGTCTGCTCCTCCACAGCCAGACATTCTCCTCCCCCCTGGAAACTGCCAAACTGCCAAACTGCCAAACTGCCAAACTGCCATTCCTGCTCTGCCTTTGAGCCCAGACTGTTAAGAGGCCCCTCTTCGAGTCAAGAGACCGAGCTCCTGCTGCGGCGTATTGGACCTCCATGTGTCTCTGTCAGCGAGTGTCTCCGGGTGGCCTGCCAAGGACTGAAACCCATCAGCTCTCTGGTAAATAAACCTGTGTGATTTCCTGCATTGTTTGATTCCTATGTCTTCTCTCTTCATAGTTTTTGGTTAAGCTCGGCCATATTAATAGTAAGTTCCCCTTGAGGTCTGTATTGGTATATCCAAATGAGGCGCTTTGGGACACCAGTGCGTAAGTTCCCAAGAATTGGAACAACAAGACTCTATAAAAGGCCACACTTTATTTAATCCTAAAAAACAACAACAAACTTGTAGTGAATATTATTATTCTCATTTTTCAAATGAGTAAAACTGAAGTGTTGATAAGTCACAGGTAGTAAATGTCAGAACTAAGTTCAAATCAGCTTTTCTGACACCAAAATCTGTGGCTTCTAGGACTCTCCAAGTATGGGGGACTATTTACAGTTCCCTGAACAAGCCTTGTTATTTCATTCCTTGCATAAACTTTCATTCTGCCTGTAATGTTCTTCCTTATTGTTCCCCTGATAGACTCTAAGACTTTCATCCTGCCAGACCAAATCTCATGTGTGTTCTCCTCTGTTAAGCTTTCCCTTACTCAACCAACCAGAATTGATTACACTCTCTTTTTTACTCCCCTTGGTCCTGGTTCAAACTGCTAATCTGCCCTTAGCCCAGTGTAGTGCAGTGATTTATATGCATACCTGTCTGGAACATAATAAGCATACAATATTTGTTATTAAATGAATGAAGGGATGGATGAATGAATGATCTGCTACCATAAAAAAGCATGTTATTTGTGGCTGGAATATGAAATCACCACAGTATGCAATAAAACTTTGCTAATTTTAATTTAACTAGAAGGTTTTAGGACAGGCAAAAAGAAAAAGGGTCACAGGAAAGATTTATTCACATTATTGCGGGCTTAACTTATTAGCATAATTTTCTTTTGCTGTGTTTTATTACAAGTATTCTTTTTGTCACCTTGTCTGACTTCTTCCCTCCTCTCAACTCAGTGTCAGTTATTAATAGGAACATAGTTTAAAGACAAGAACATTTTAAAATAGAAGAAACAACAAAAAAGCATCACCTTGAGTGCATTATGCATAGTAAAAAAGAGATGTTTTCAGTTTGAGACTAACCTTCACCCACATGTGTGAGCTTGGCTAGAAGAATGCATGAGCTGACTAAAATGAGCGTTCTGGGGTGGGGTGGGGTTATCCTAAGGAAAGACAGGGTCAAACCTGGATACATGACAGTTGCTCCCATTGCAATGTTCAATATTCAGATGAGAGAGATGGTTATGATGACAGAACACTAGCATTGAGATTGATCACAGTTTGCCCCTATTGTCTTATATGTGTGTCCTTGGGGTAGTGAGGGTGGTAAATACAATGTGGAAAGGAAATTTCACTAAAATACTCTGGTACTTGAAGTACATGGCAGATATTTAATGAGAGCCAAGTGATGCAGTAACATAAAGGAGAGAAGAAGAAGTCATTCTCTCCTCTTTGGCAGAAAGCACAACAGTTTGGTGTTTTGTTTTGTTTTTACATGTCACGGGCTCCTAACACAATCATACTGTGTTGTAGCCACCAAATCTATACTAATAAAAGGGTAATATGCTAATTAGTGTGGACGTCTTCCAGATGTTGATCCAGACATTCATCCGGACAAAGCCACAGCGGCTGTGAGGGCCTAGGGCCAGGGGCAGCACAGGAGAGGAGGAGGCGCCTCCATGGGAGCAGGAGCAGAGGCAGGGCTGCCACCGCGGGAGTGGGAGCCTCCGCCTCTACTCCTAGTCCCAGTGCCACGCCTCCGCAGAGGCTGGATGGGTGTGACATGCTGTGCCTCAACCTCCCACAGCCCCTCCCCAGCCTGCCTGGCCCCAGATCGCTCCCAATCCACCAGTGAGCAGGGGGGCAGGGCCAGTGCTAAGAAGCAAGGACCTGCTGGGGCCAGCAGTGGAAGCAGCAGTGGGGTGATAGGGGTGATGCCTTCCCATGATTGGTCCAGTCGCCTCCTGCAGAGGGAGGCCAGACTGCAGCATAGGCCCACTCCCCACGGGGGAGCGGGTCTAAGCCATCAGTAGGACATCCCCTGAGGGCTCCCGACTGTGAGAGGGGGCAGGCTGGGCTGAGGGATACCCCCCACCCCAGTGCATGAATTTTCACGCACTGGGCCTCTAGTCCTATATAATAAAAGGCTAATATGCAAATTGACTGAATGGCAGAACAACCAGTTGCTATGACACACACTGACCACTAGGGGGCAGATGCTCAATGCGGGAGCTGTCCCCCGGTGGTCCGTGTGCTCCCACAGAGGGAGTGCCACTTAACCAGAAGCCGGGCTCACTGCTGGCAATTGCAGCGACGTCCCAGGCAATTGAGCCTGTCCCACCTCCGCAGTAGCGCTAAGGACCCCTTGGGGTCCTAGACTGTGAGAGGGGCATAGGCTGGGCTGAGGAACCCGCACCCCCCCCCTGCCAAGTGCATGAATTTTATACACCGGGCCTTTAGTATTATAATAAAGGTACAGTGTTCCTTCAGTTGAGGAGGTAACAGTAGCCTTAGGTGCCTTTAGTATACAGAGTGGATCTCAAGATTTTAATAGGATTCAAGGTTTCATTGTTTGTAAGAGTTAAAGCCAGTACATGGAATTTACTTGGAGACTTTATTTGGAGGGGATGACCAAACTCCTGGATCTTTGAAGGGGGTGGACATTAATAGAGTTCAAGCAGAAAAGAGGAAAATGATGTGAGTTTATGAACTCTTTTTGTGGGGGAGTGCACCTTAAGAGTTAGCTTAAATAAAATAGGATGCCACATGGAAGCAGAAGGGATTTATTAGTGTGGAAACATGGTCACCTAAAGTACCTGTGTGTGGGATGGAAGGGAGATGAAAGCCGCAATTTCAGGGATTTAGTTCTGACCAGTAGCAGGTAACTATGGATGATCCAATTAATTGTGATAATGTGAATGTGGGCTGAAAACACCATTTTCACATCGCCCCTCTCCCTATTCTGTATGCACTATTTATTATTTAATTTCAGAAAGAGGTCATATGTCTGGGTATTTTAGTGCAATCTATAAAATCAAGAGCTGCAGATGAATTTATTGATGTAATAATAACAGTAGTAGTAATAAATACTAATAATAAACCATTGCCATGATTAACATCTATTTTACATTTATTAATTGTGTCAATGGCTTTCCTTCGGAAAGAATTTTATCTAAGCTCCCTTTTCTCCCATATTTCCTCCCTCATGCATTGGTTTTCTGCAATGGAATGAAGTAAAGTATTAGAGTTATGATGGGAAAAGTCCTAGTAACAGGCTTAGGAAGTAGTCGGGTACTGTACCACACCATTTTGTTCCAGTGACTGAATTCTGCTTTGGTGGTACATTAAGTTCCAACAGAAAGATTGGTATGTCTTTAGGTCTCCGGATCCTAACACTCCTGAATTTATTGTTTACTTGAAGGTAATGATAGAAACCAAGTAATAAATATAGATGAGAGGAGAGAAGCACCTTAAAATATTCCCATCCTAGATTTTAGGCAATCAGATATCCAATAGTAAAATTTATGTAAAAGAAAAACAAATGGCATATCACATTCTTGAGGTTATATTGAAGATCAAGGGCTTTTAAGTCACTAAAGCTCAATAATTCATTAGAGTTTTGTTCTAACTTGAAAGCATCTCAAATTAGCAAGTACTTTCTACATATTATGGACTGTCTGCTTTCCAAAGACACCCTCAAACAGAAATGTTCATGTTAGGTGGGTGGGAATTTTTATAGTATGGTAATACTGATTTTCAGATTAAGGAGCTAGATTTAACTAATACCTGAAATTCTAATGACAGGAACCCCTTGAGATTAAAGGATGGAAATCAAGTGAATTATTTTTGTATTGCTGTGGATTAGGTATCTGCATCTTGACTGATCATACCCTTTATCATCTTTCTATATCAAATTATGTATGTTTCAGTTCAGAAGCATTGTTGATTAAAAAGCAGGCTGAAAAATTATGGAAGTACATTTCTTTATTTCATTTACATATTGTCTTATTTTGTCTGTTCGCTTATTTAAATAAACAGAAATCTATTTTTTATAACTGGTTAAATATAAATTCCAGATGACTTGATACTCTTTAAAAAAATGTAATCATAAACTTAGAGAAAAGTTAAAATGTATTGTACAAAAAATATTTTCCTGAGCCATTTGAAAGTTAGTTTTTGACATGGTTCCCTATTATCCTGAATAGACTAGAGTATATTTCCTTTAAAAAAAAGGACATTCTCCTTAATAACCCCAATATCTCAATACAACCAACAGATTAACAATGATATATTGCAACTATTTGATACTCAGATCCCATTTAATGTTCATTACTTGTATCAGTAATATCTTTGAGGGCAACAAGTTTAAGTTCACATGGATTTAGTAGTCATATCTCCTTAAGCAGCAGTTCATAATCCTTTCTTAATTCTCCTGACTAACTCTTAACATGATATTAGCACAAGTTACTTTGTATAATAACCCTTAATTTGGGATTGTCTAGTGCAGCTGTGGGCAAACTACAGCCCACAGGGCGGATCCGGCCCGCGGAGCCAAAAGAGTGGAGGGTTCTCTTGCTTTCCCCTCCGCTCCTTCACCAGCAGCAGTGTTAACATGGCAACATCGGGAAACACTGCCACAGCTCCTACTTCTGAGTCCAGTTTAAGAACCCATTGTGGCCCTTGAGTCAAAAAGTTTTCCCACCCCTGGTCTAGTGCCTCCTCATGATGCACTTCAACAGGTTATGTAGCTTAACATGAAGTAATGTTCTGTTCTTCTCTTTGCATCCTATTGCATAGTATATGATTTGGTTCATTACTGGTGATGTTAATGTATTTACTTGGTAAAGGTGGCCCTGCCAGATGTTTTTATTTCCCTTAAAAATTAATTAGCTAGGGGTGCCAGAACAACAGAAAGAGGAACAAGACTTAGAAAACCTATTTGAAGAAATAATATCAGAAAACTTCCCTGAGGTGGGGAAGAAAAAAGTCACACAAGCACAGAGAGTC